ATTGGCCGATATTCTTTGTGTATATTATAGTACAGTACCAGTCAAAAGTTTGGACACTTTCCCATTCGAGGGTCCAAACATTTGACTGGTTATATATATAGAATACAGTATATACATAAACAGAATATATATACATAAACACATTTTTTGATTGTGATCAAACACTTATAATGACGTGACAAAGATATGTAATGGAGGCAGGGCATTTAACAATTTAACAATAAACTTTATTATCCAAAATGAGTCTGACATCAGTGCACTGAACAGTAAAGTTGAAGTTTATTCAACTTTAATTCAATTAATTTCCATTCAACTTTATTCCGTTGAAGTTTATTTCACTTCGGAACATTCATTCACGGATTTGCGCTACTGTCTTCACACACAGACAAAACTTACTAGAGAAGTGTGACATAATATACCTCTGTAAATAAATACAAAATAAATTCACGTCTTGCGCACTTTAATGCCCTTTGAATGTAACGTGTACGTTCCCTTGGACTTTAACCACCCGTAACTCCCGAACCCCGGGGGCTATCGATGCGGCGGTGGTCTCATTCGAAAGCGGGCCTCTAGACGGACACTCGATTCGTGTTCGAGAGGGTTCCTCGTGCTGAAGGGATCCCCCGAATCCCCGAAAACGGAGATATGGCCGTTCAAAGTTTCAATGGTTTTCCATAGACTTAAGCTTTAAAGTGTTTCATCCAGGTCGCCAGTAGAAAGCAATGGAGCGCGCTCTGCTGGACAAACTAAGTAATTACACCATTTCAAGCATTTTTACTGCGTTATATGTTCTGTAAAAAAAAAATTTATATCGGCAGCATATTCGCCGATATATCGGCGACAGGCTCATATCGGCCGATAATATCGGCAAAACGATATATCGGTCGGGCTCTAATATATATATACAAGTATTGAAGTATTTTGACTTGCTTGACGTGACTCTCTGATTGGTGGAATTTTCTGTGCAGCATCATGGGTAATTTATTTTCAATATGATTATTTTAAAAATACATTTAATAATGAGAACAGATTTCACTGCGGAGAAAATGAATGGAGTTTTTGCTTCCGGATCGACTGTTGCGCTCTACACTTTTGCATTTTAGTGCAAATCAAATACTAGACGTGCAGAAGGAATTTCAGAGTAAATGATACTTTAAATAAATGCATTGATGTCTGACAGTGATTCATTCTGCTGCTGTTTTTTGAGCAGTTTGTGTTGTTTTTCAGATATCGTGGTGAATAACGCCGGGTAAGTGGATGCTTGTGATCAGTGTTGGGGAAAGTTACTTTTAAAAGTAATGCATTACAATGTTGCGTTACTCCTTAAAAAAGTAACTAATTACGTTACTTAGTTACTTTTTACGGAAAGTAATGCGTTACGTTACTTTTGCGTTACTTTTTAAATCTGGACAGGGCTTGCTTGTTTGTTTTTAAAATAAAAAAGTTATATTTTTGGCAAATATAAAAACCTTTTCAAACCAAAAGTAAAATGAATAAGCCTCAGGCTGAAGAGAAAGTACATTTACGTCCGTACAGTAGAATGCAGAAGAAGAAATCTCAATACACTTCAGCAATAAAACAAGACACGAATGTTTGTCTAGAGTAATTTGTGATTATTAGTA